TGGCGCCAGCGCGGACGCTGCGTGGGGTCGACGAACGTCTCGTTGAGCGTGACGGGGGCTCGAGCAGCATCGCCACGCGGAGCGCTCCGCCGTGGGGGCAGCTTGATCACAAACGCTGGCCCCCTGCCAGCCAGTTAGACAGATACACGGGCGCGGACCGCAGAGCTCACCGACGCGTTGGCACTGCCCGGGACACGTCCCGCGGAGGTCACGCCGCCCGCGATGGAGAGGCGGTACGCGTCGTCGTGCGTGTTCAGGCCGTCCCACGAGCGCAGCCAGGGAAGCACGGGGCCTTGAACGAGTTGGTGTCGGACGTGCCAGCAGCGAGGGCGCGCTGAACACGCCGAGATGGTGTGGAGGTCGACGATGCTGGAGGGAGAGATGAATCGAAGCGCTGCAATGCAGAATGAATCGATCTACTGACCCTGGCGTAACCCAAGCACCAGCGACGTCGAGCACCGACACGTCCTTGTACGCGCTGAGATCGACCGCCCCGACCTGCTTGATAAGACCGCTATCGAGCAAGATGTCCCCGTGGACGATCTCGTGTCCGTCGTGGGCACCCGTCCAGATCGTCGCGTTCCTGATCAGCGTCGCCTTCGTCCCCTCCTGGAACCGGTCCGACACGGTACGCGAGCGGAAGTCGTCGGGCGGCCCCGGCGTCAGCTTGAGAGCCGCGCAGTGCGCGAGCACGCTCTGCGCGTTCATGGGCACAGCGACGGCCCTGTCATGGGACGGGGAGTCCGATAGCGAAAGGTACGTCCAGGTAGCGGAGAGCGCTGCAAGCGCGACGAGCCCGAGCCGCAGGGTCCTCCCACGCGCCGGGCGCGCGGACTTCGGCGCCGCCGTGCTCTGGAGGGGCAGAATGAACGGGGGCTGGATGTAGGTTCCCTTCTCCATGGTGGTGGTGGTGTGTGGTGGGGGTAGGGGCACTGGGCAGAAGGAAGCGACGGCGGTCACAGGTGCAGGCTGCTATCGAGCTGCGCGCCGCGGCGTGGAACTTTTAGTGATCGCGCATGTGGCAATGCGCAGTCGGTCCCCAGGAAATCACCCCGCCCGCCGAGCTCGCCGGCTGCGGCGAGTGATGCTCCTATTAGACTGACGCGTCATGTCACTGTGACATGGTCTTGACCACGCACTGGCACCATCCCACCGCTACGGGCCTTCAGTCCACGCGAACGAGAATTCCTCCTGTCAGTGTTTCTGAGTCAGGGTCAGCGCCCGACTCGTGACACAATCCACAAACTGTTGGAGTCCTTTGAGCTTTTGTCATTGGAACATTGTTCATGCAAGGTGGTACAGGTTGTGTCTGGATAAGTCAAGACCGTGAGTATCAATGCCACGATTCTTCTCTCTATCTTTATGCTCAATTCTTGTACGCGATGTCAGGATCCACATCTAAAAATGCCCGCCACCTGAGTGTAATCCCATGATACGCAGGTAAGTCCGAACAAGGCAATGAACCTGAGCGACCTAAGAATACCATCCGAGGGTGGGTGACTCTGAGTCACCGGCCAACCTGCTCCCCGACCGCGCTCTGACCAGACCTTCGGTCCTTTTCGCCGCGAACACCATCCTCAGTGATCACAAGCCCTGCCGCAATGGCCCGAAATAGCCGCGAATATCATCCGCCACTGAGCCACCGCCGTGCTTTCCGTGATGTAACATTCTCGGCGCTTTTGCGCGGCAAGATTTCGGTTCTGGGTCTCTCTGTCTCATGCCGACATGCTCTGGCGCGCGCACTATATAACGAAACGGGACGGCTGATGGCCCGGACGAACTGTGCAGCAGACAGCAGCGACCATGCCCCCACCCATCTTGTGTCCATCGTCGCGCTTGCTCTGGTCGCGTCGCTGGTCGAGGGGCAGGCAGCGATCTACGGGCAATGTATGTCTTCTCCTCCCATGAATGATTCTCGGGCTGAAAGCGACGGCCAGGTGGAGGAGGCTCAGTGAATACATCAAAGTTCCGCGTCTTGACTCCTTGCTGACGAACACCAGAGCTGGACCGGACCAACAACTTGTGTCAGCGGGACAGTTTGCTCTGTTGTCAACCCATGTCAGTCGCGAAAGCCGACAGAGCAAGCGCAACTCAGCTGACGGTCCACAGTCTACTCTCAATGCATTCCATCCACTGCAGCAGCGTCGACGGTAGCGCCGACCACCTCTAGCGTGCCGGCGCCGTCTTCCTCCTCCATCCGTTCCGCAGCACCGGTCTCCTCCGCGAAATCCACCTCCGTCGTCGTCACAACCCCCGCCGCCCCGACCACCGTGACTACGGCCACCACCGCCGCCGCGAGCCCCACCAGCAGCGCCAGCGCCGGCAACTGCCCGGCCAACGTCCCCGCCGCGGGGTCCGGCACCCTCAAGTTCACCGGCGTCAACATCGCCGGGTTCGATTTCGGGTGCAACTCGGACGGCAGCTGCACGCCGGGCGCCGCGTACCCGCCGCTACTGAAGTACTACGGCATGGACGGTGCGGGGCAGATGTCGCATTTCGTGAAGACGGACGGGTATAACACGTTCCGGCTGCCCGTCGCGTGGCAGTATCTGGTTGGATACACGCTGGGCGCGCCGCTCGATCAGACCAATCTGCTTATCTACAACGATCTGGTGCAGGTGGGTGTCGCGCCATCTAATCTGATCTTATCTCGTTCTGACTAAGCGCTCAGGCTTGTTTGGCAACCGGCGCGTATTGTATCATCGACATGCACAACTATGCCCGCTGGGAGAATACGGTGCGGTTTAACCTGGATGAGAGACTCCTGACAAGTGCTCACCGCGGAAGCAGATCATTGGACAGCCGGGTGGCCCAACAGACGCCCAATTTGCGGCGACTTGGAGCCAGATCGCGGCTTACTACGCGAACGAGACCAGGATCATGTTCGGCGTGTGAGTCTAGGATTCTCATGTCTATGAACTTCCGCTAAGATCTGTCCCAGAATGAATGAACCTCATAACATGCCGAACATCACCCAGTGGGCCGGGAGTGTGCAAGCTGCCGTCACTGCCATTCGTAAAGCTGGGTGGGTCGCGATATGCTCCAGGAAAGTTCGGATCGCTCACCGATCTTGTAGTGCCACGACCCAGATCATTCTGCTCCCGGGAGACAACTGGACATCAGCCCAAACCTTCGTTTCGAACGGTTCCGCAGACGGTGCGTGGCCACACGGTGCATGGAATGCGACTGATGTGATGTCCCGTCCTCTCTCATTCAGCTCTGAACAAAGTGGTGAACCCCGACGGAAGCATCACGAACCTCATCTTCGACGTTCACAAATACCTCGACTACGACAACTCTGGCACAAACGCGTGCGTCCGGGTGTCCGGGTGTCCCATTGGTACTGCTGCTGACTATGTGCATACTACTCTAGCGCGTGTGTCACGAACAACATCCAGACAGCATGGGCCCCACTCGCACAGTGGCTGAGATGTCACGGGCGCCAGGCGTTCAATACAGAGACGGGCGGAGGCTTTAACGATACCGGCTGCCTGACCTACATGTGCCAGCAGATCGCGTTCCAGGCTCAAAACAGCGATGGTGTGTTTCTCCATCCCCTCAACAGAGACATGCCTCATGATATTCTTCCCACCACAGTCTTCCTCGGATACGTCGGTTGGGTGCGCACGATCCGATACTGCTCTTACCGCCTAGACTGATTGTGTTTAGGCTGCGGGTAACTTCTACAGCGGCTACGTGCTCTCGGAGATGCCGAACGTGAGCGGAACGACTTGGACTGATCTGCCCTTGGTCTCCAAGTGCATGGCGCCTGTATCCGGGTCCCAGAAGGGATCCACAGGACTGTGATGCACTGTAGTGACTAATCGAATACCGCGCTGTATCTTAATATAGTCGTATAATCTTGTGGGCAGCCGCAGAGAAGAAGAGGAGCCAAGCACCCTGGCCGAGTGGCCAAGGCAACACCTCGATACACACACGCCTACATACAACCAACGACTACACAGGAGACCCTCGGATATAGTGCGACGCCGGAGCAGACCGCTCACGGCGGAAACCCTCCTCGAAACAGCACCTGTCCCCGCCCAGCGCACTGCGGCAACCTGCCTGTCAATGCGTTAATGGCGCTCTGCAGCGGCACTTGGCCGGATATGCAAAATATGATCATCCTTAGCTTGGGGCAACCCGAGAGCACGCAGTCCAGCTCGGTCCAGTCGATCGGATCCTCCGGCGGATAGAACTCCTCGGGATCTGCGAGCGTGATCCCCAGGAAAAGCTGCGTCAGGTTCTGCGCCCGGCTGAGCACTTTCAGGATCCACGCGACGGGGCGGCTGAATTGGTAGATCGACTCGTTCACGAATTTGTGCACCGAGATCGTGTGGAGGGAGGTGTTGTGCACCAGGTCGACCGAGAAGAAGAAGGATTCTGTGTCAATGTCAATGTAAGCTCGCAAGGCGCAGAAGGGCTGCTGCAATCGCACCGGCGTCGCCTCCAGCATCTAGAGAGGAGAATTCAAACTGCAGCGTCTTGAGCTCGGGGCCCAGAAGCTTCAGAAACCTCCCGATAGAGGGTGCATCGGGAGGCTGGACCCTGCCGAGCTGGAGATACCTCACGGCCGGCACAGGGTGTCTAGAGACCATCCAGTCCAGTATATCTCGCTGATAACAGTCCGTCAGCCGGAGACTGTCCAGTCCCTGCGGAACCGGAAACTGATCGAGAATGTGATGGTCGCTTCCGGGATCGGGACTCCACGCCACGTCGAGCAGGTGCAGCTTTCTCAGCGCCGGTTTCGACGAGATGAGTTCGACGACATCGGATGTGAAATCGAACGCGGATGAGCGCAGTTCGAGGGTGGCAAGAGCCCGGAACTTGGAATAGAACACGGCTTGCGTGGCGGGCTTCAAAGAGTCCCACGAGAGATCCCCGAAAGCCAGGCTCTCGACGGTGGGCAGGTCGTGTGCCAGGGCCGTGATGATCGCCGGGTGGCGGTCAATCCACGTCTCCGTCTCCTCGTCGTTCTGCGAGGGCGGCTCGAACGTGAACCGGGCTAGTTTCCGCGACGATAGCTCTAAGCCCCATAGATTGAGATGCCGCACATATCCGCGGATGGTCGCGTGCGGGCTTGCGATGAGCTCGACGAAGGTGGCAATGTTGCGCGCGTGCAGCAGCACGACCCGGTTCGCGAAGTGGTGGTGGCGGCTTGACGGCAGCCACGAGCGGCGGACGAGTGCGCACGCAAGGATTGTTGGGGTATGATGTCGCGTGTGTCTGATAATGTCGTCGAAGAGTTCCGGTGGAAGAGCCATGTCAACCGCGTCTGGAAATATCAGCTTACGCGACGCTTATGACTGGTTACCAAGACCGTGACAGGTCGCGTAACGTGTGGTGCTTTGATCTTGTGCTGTCCTTCATTCATGTCACCGATCAGACGCGATCGTGCTTGAGCTGGTCGCCGTCTCTCCAGGTTCTCAACTCACACAAAGCACTCTTCTTCCCCCAGACCCTCATGGCACCGACTCCCGCTTTCGAAGGCCTCTCGCTGCTCTCCGCGCATCTACTAGCGCTCTCTTTCTCATCCTCGTACGTCGGTGTCCTCTATGTCGTAGGAAAGATCCAGCCCGGTCCGCGCGACGATCCGCGCGTCATCCGGGCGCGTCTGATGGCGGTCACTGTCACCTCCGCACTCAGCTGCGGCGCCGTGTACGCACTGGTGGCACGGTCGAATACCACTGCGGCACGTGTGCCTCCCCACCCCCACGTCCCCGTCTCGCTGAACCGCTCCCGACAGAGCCCCTTGAAGAGCACGATGGCTGTTCTTGGAGCCACATGGTCGAATAAACTGCTGCTGTCGTGTCTGCATGCCCCCCTACTCTTCTTAGGCCCCATGTACGGCAGCTACCTTTGTCTTTCTCTCCCGGGACAATCAGTGCCGACGTTGGGGTCCGCCCTGAAATGCGCGTTTGGGACCTTGATTGGCTTTAGGAACTACGTCTGGGTCTGTGGCGAACTCGTGCAACGGGCTCGGTCTGGATGCTGACTTGCCTAGGGCCCATTGACGGAGGAGATCGTGTTCCGCGGCTGCGTTCTTTCCGTGTATGCTATGGCAGGAGCCGGGAGGGGGAAGACGATCGGTTTCGCACCACTTGTCTTTGGTCTTGGTGTGTCCATCTCCCGCTCAGCCCATGCGTTCCTTGAGAGCTTTTTCAGCCCATGTCCATCACGCATGGGAAACCTTCACGCGACTCGGGCGGACGAAACAGGCGTTCCAGAATGCCATGGCCGGTGCAGGTCTGTCCCGTCCCGTCTATATCGCCGTAGTACTGATATTGCGCAGTCTTCCAAACTGCGTACACCACCTTGTTCGGCGCCTATGCTTCGTTTCTCTTCCTACGGACATCGTCCTTGATCCCCCCGCTCGTCGCTCACGTTTTCTGCAACTATATGGGCCTGCCGCAGATTGCCTGGGAGCTGCGACGTTTTCCGGAGAAAAAGACCTGTATGTCCTGATGCTGTGATGGCCCTCGTGTTGGCATATCTCATGTTGTGCGACCAGATATCTCGGCAGCTTATGCTCTCGGGATCCTAGCTTTTGCGTATACTATGGGTTCCTGGACTGGACCGGGGGGATCTAACTTGTATTGGACCGAACCTTCAAAATTCTGGGGTTTGGTAGGCTCGTAGCATGAGTTGAGATTTGCATGGGACGTCCTTGCGCTTTCGCGTAGGTCAGGATGATCTAGATATATAACTAGGACGGATTGATTACGGATACTTAGCTACCTACCTGTCCGAATGAAAGTGGACTACGCAATAGTTCGGCTTTCGCACGTCAACATGATCTCCTCTTACCGTTTCGGACAACTGGTCCGAAGGCCCATTCCCAAGATCGCAGGCCTGTCTCTCACTCATCGATTGTCCATGTCTACCTTGAATCGCTTCATCGTCTACGCCCCGGACAAGACCGAGGAAGGCACATTCCAACGCCGTCTGTCCGTCCGCGAGCAGCACCTGTCTAGAGCTTCCGAGTTTATCAAGGGCGGGCAGATACGTGCGCTCAATTCCAGCTTGTCCGAAGAACAGCTCTCCTCATTTCAGGTGAATGTAGGCACTGCAGGCGCGATGCTGACTCCGGAGTCAGTGACCGGAGGCGAGCGGAAGATGGTGAGGATGTCCTTGACGGCGGGCTCTCTCAGCTCTGACTCTGTTCATGCGGCGTTAATACCACACGACACAGATTGGGTCCATGTTGATTTTCGAGGCGGCCACCATCGAGGAGGTCCGGAAACTCATCGAGACGGATGTGTACTACACGGACGGTGTGGTAAGTCTCATCGGCTACGGCGCGCCTGGCCCGACTGATCACTTTGCCAGTGGGACCCAGAGACGCTGGTGATTCTGCCCTTCGTAGCTGCGACGCCTATGTAATGGAGCGGAGAAATCAAGACGACTAAGAAGGATTTATGGAATATGCGATGGAATTGTAACGACTGGGACGAGAATTGCGTGTTCGCTGCACAGTGGGAACTAAGCGAAAAACTCCTGCGACGATCGTTCTGCACAACGCGCTCGGAACAGATTGACCTAGCAGCCATGAAAGATGTGCTCAGCGTTTGGCCGCTAATGACCAACGAAGGAGGAGCGCCTGTGAAGTCCTCTACTATAGATCTCCACGCGATCTACCCCGGCCCGGCCACATTGAATCCGGGATTGACTCAAACAGACTTCGTCAGATGCAGTGTGGGCGTACATAGAGCGTAGTCACCCAAGTCAACGCGATTTGCCGTACGGTAGACTGCGGGCGCGGCCAGCTGCCGGCGGTATAAAGATCAGCAGCCTCGCAGAGGAGGTATCGTATCGGGCAGAGAGGAAAGAAACGCTTGGCCCCACGTGCATCCACGTCGTACTCATCAAAGCCTCTTGCTCATCGCTTTCATCCCGCACGGCTGCGGTGACACCGTAACAGTCAGCGTTCCCCGGAGAAGACCACCACTTGTTTGCCGCGCGACATCAGCTCGGACATCTTTGCTCTTTTCCACCGGCCCGGACACACAACCCGTCGAACGTCTGTGCGTCCAGAACGATATGGCCAAACCAAAGGCCCCGACCCCGCAGGAATTGTACCGGGCTCGGAAGCAGCGGTGCGTGACAGCTCCTCGAGCACCATTTCATGCTAGATCTGATTACCCCGCACAGGGAAGAGCAGGAGAAGCTAGCGTATCTGCCGCCGGGTCTGATCAATCATGGCAATACGTGCTTCATGAACTCGGTTCTGCAAGGGGTGCGTCGGTCCGTCCGCAGTTGCATGTCTCCCTCTCATCACCGGCTACGCATATAGCTGCTCGCTACCCGGTTGTTGTCCCAGCTCGTGCACTTTGCTCCGATCCCCGCTCCGGTGCAAGCCCACGCGGCCACCCTGCTCGCGTCGCGCCGCTCACCGCAACTCACGAACGGACATGATCTGGGAGGAGAGTTTGAGAAGGAGTGGGTCGACACCATGCCCATCGGCGACATGTTCCTCAATGTGATGCACCGAGCATGGGATGCCGAATTTCACCGTCGCAGAGAGAACCTGAGTCCCAAGTGCGTTCCGATGCTTTCCTCACCTAATCTCAGCTCTGATATCCTCAAGACCCCTGCTCGCGGCCCTCGGAAAGAAATACGACCAATACCTGGATTTCGCGCAGCAAGACGCACATGAGTTCCTGCGCATCCTCTTAGATGCCATGAGCATGGAGGAGCTGGACGCAATCAAGAAGACGAATCCTCCCCCACCTCCGAAGACGAAGAAGCCGCGCCGAGCGGCGGACTCTTCCTCGCCGCCCGATGCGCCGATTGCGCTGGCGGACATGATCTTTGGTGGCAAACTGACGAGCATCCTGGTTTGCCAGAAGTGCAAACACG